CTAAACTGTCCAAAAGGCAAGGTAATCCCTCCTCATCTGCCTGCATCCCCAATAAGCTTTTTCCCCCCTCCAAAAGCAGACTCCTCTAAGTCACTCTGTAACCTCAGAAGCCCAGTGCAGGACATCAGCCCAGCACCTAGTGCAGGGGTTAAGGGAGAGGCAACAAATTACTGAGAAATAAAACAAACAGGGCAGAAAACAGTCTCATGCTGCAGGAGCCGACAGCTGAGGAAAAACAAGATGAAAGCACTGACTGGCTGCCGAGCAGCAATACCTGCCAGGAAAGCCAGACAGCACCATCATCTAACAAGGGGCAGGACCCAAACAAGGGCTGAAGCTGCACCAGTACTGAGAAGCTGACCTCAGCTGCTGCTTGAAGTTTAGCTAGGAGAAGCTATGAAGCAGGTCTCTGCCTGGTAAAGGAGGCCAGAACAAACAGCAAAGAGCCTCTGCTGAACCCTGCAGGAAGCCAGTGACCACAGTGTTTGTTTGCCACCATGATCTAGCAGGCTATGGAAGTGCCATCATTCTTCCAATAAATGATGTTTTCCTGAAGCTTGATTTAACGGGAGAGTTGATGAAACAGCCACAGCCAGTGGTTACACCCATAAAGGATGCAGGACAAAGCACCAAAATTAGCAGGACAGCATTTTGGACACTATTCTGCTGCTACACAAGAAGTCAGCATTTGGAGGACAGGAATGGTCTGTACTTTCCTCAGATCTCACCTTGCCTGTAGACTCTGCCTCCTTTGGCAGGAGAAAGCTCTTGGGCCCAGGGGTCAGTCCTGCTGCACAGTCCCAACACACGGGTCAGCTTTTCACTTTCCAAGATGTCAGGAAAGTGACAAATCATCATTGTGTGAATGACAATGAAAGGTCTCCAGCACATTAAGGCCTGGCTTCTACAGCCCCTGAGATCAGACTGAACCACTCTCAGAGCTCAGGATGGATCTAAGCATGGCCACACCTTGGGACCATCAAGTGGCCTCTCCCTGCTTGGTAGTACAGTAAAGGAGCTGCACAGGAAAGGATCTATGCTGCTCCCCCTTCACACAGGGGAATATAATGAGCTCCACCAAAAGCACTCTTGAAGTCAGTCTGGAGCTCTGCAACACCTCCACACAAGAGAGGACACACTGCCCATGTGGTTATGCTGAAAGAGAAGCCCAGCTCCAGCCTTCTTGGGGCCTAAATTCCAGGGCCACAGTGATGAAATGGAAAAGAGATGATAGCACAGCCTCCCTGCTCTTCTCTCGTGAAAGGAGATGTGCTGAACACCTCAAAGCAAAGGCAGCCTGCAGGGGAGAAAAAAAGATCCTTGGGACAACGAAAACAAAAGCACACATTGCACGCAGCCTGGACAGACAAACTCCATGGACAGATCCCACTCCTCCAAGTGCACACCACTGCAAGGTATCCCAGGTCCCAGCTGTGCCAACTGCACGGACAGAGGCACAAGCACCCACAGAGTGGTGGTGCTGAGATCCACAGTCTCCAGAAGGCCTCTCCGAAAAGAGGCCCACAAGCTTGAGCCAACTCGCTGCCACTCCTCAACCTCATCATCCAGCTAGAAGGTGACACATCCTGCTGCTGGATTTCACCCAGCAATCACCTCTACAACACTGGCAAGTCAGAAAGAAAGCAGCTCTTTTCACTGCTGCTGTGGAAGCAAGAAGAAGTAGTAGTAATACAAGGCTCATGAACACTGACCTAGAAGTAAAGACACTCCTGGTTCAAGATGCTTTTGTGCACTTCTCGGGCTCTGCATGTTTTTTGCAGAACACAGCTTTGCAGACCAACAATAAAGCAGTTTGTAACTCACATTCCAGTCCCAGACTGAACTCTGCTGCTTAAAAGCATCACCACTGCTCAACTGCATCAACAGCTCTTCATTCTCCTGACAGAACATCAGACCTCTGACAGGCCACCACAGCTTGAAGAGCTGAAGATGACTCAGCAATCTTTTGACAGTAGAAATCTGGGTGACTCCTAAGTTTGTCTGCCCCAGACAGATTCCACTTAGGCACAGATCCATGCTCACTGCACTGGAGCAGGGGAAAGCAGCTCCAGGTCCTTCACTGACACCTTGTGTCAGAAGCAGGAACTGGATACAACAGCGACCACCAGGCCGGTTCCAAATGCTCCCAGCTCATCTGTACTGCACAGGGCTGAGGAACAACCAGAGCACCAGGACTTTTGGAGCTGAAAGAAGGGATTAAACGTGTTATTGCTAAAGGGTTTAAAAGAAAGCTTAAACCAAAACAGCTCTCACACACACATCCTCAGTTCATGTTTTTCTGCACTTCTTATGGCCAGCTCAGGAGCCTGCCTGACCACAGACAGCCCATTTGGCTCTCTGTTTCTGACTCAACAATGGAGAGCTCGGGTCAGATTACCTTGTGATCAGACCAGCAGAGACAACAGGGGATCATGCAGAAAAGCATGATTTCCTCCCTTCCAGCAGCACTAAACTGCCAGCTTAAGTCTTGAAACAGACAAGTCAGTCCCTTTATGCTTCCAGACTGATCTGGGCACACCAGAGGGAGCAGCACTTCAGACCTGGAAGCACAATGTCCTCCAAGCAGCCAGATACCCATTTCCCAGAGCCAGACCCAGAACAGCCTTGGTCCTTCAGGCTTTCTCTGTGGCCAAGGCAACCACTTGCTCCAGGACTGGGACTAACTGCACAGCCAGACATGTGAGAGGCAGCAGCAAGGACTAAACAGAGAGTAGAGAAGAATGTATCAGTAATTTGTGCCCCAGTACTTATTTTGGCTGCTAATACATCAGCCACTGCCTGGATTTAGGGCAGAAGAACATCTGGGAGGGAAAGAAACATGTTAAAAGTTAGTGGAGCACAGAAAACAAATACTGAAATGAGAAAATCAGCACTAAAAGGACAGAGGAAAGAAATTGTTTGACTAGAGACCTACGTAAGTAATAAAGAACAATTCTCCTTTGAAGAAAAATCCCTCTCCAAAAAGGCACGGCGAGCCAAGTGAAGGAGTAACAAGATGGGCAGTGAATTTGGAAGAGCCTTCAGGTTCTGAATGAAGTGTGACCAAGAGCAGCTGCCACCACCAGAGAGCTTCTGGGGACAGAACAGCAACAATACCATGACAAACATACGGGAACTCCAACGTGACTCATTCCAAACACAGCCAACACCACTCCAAGGGAGAACTGGGCTTAAGCAGCTTGCTTCAGAAACTGAGAAACAGAGAGAAAAGAGAAGCTCCAAGCACAGAAAGACTCCAAAGAGGAAGTTATCTGCAGGAAAGGTGAAAAAGTCACAGTTCAGGACATGCTGAGACTTGTGACTACCAAGAGAGCAAAAGTCACTCCCACTGCTCTCTTTCAGGCTCCACAGCAGGAATGACAGTGACTGCTGCAAGCAAAGAGCTGCAAAAAAAGAAAAGTGGAAAAAGAGATTCTGTCCTAAGTAAAAATACACTGGGGATTTTTAAGATAGAGACTGGGGCACAACACAGCACTCTGTTCCCATTCTATTGTTAACCTACATCCAGGGTTCAGCTGGCCAGGGATTCATCTAAACTGTCAATGCCAATTAACCACTCAGATTGTCTAGATAAAACTGATGCTTAACTCATTTTTTTAGAAGAAAAAATTATCCAATAATTATAGTTCCACTGATCAAAACAACCAACATCTCTGGATATGTGTGTTTTTAGTTTATTTCAAGACAGGCCTAGTTTTAATCTTTGTGATTTGTGGTCCAGGTTCTGTACACTAAGGAGTGAAAACTGCTAAGCAGGTCACTGATCAGAGGAACAGACCAGCACCAACTAATTAAGACAATGAGCTGACCACAGGAGATCACAGAATTGCAGAATAGCTTGGTTTGGAAGGGACCTTCAAAGGCCATGTAGTCTTGCAATGAGCAGGGATATCTTCAGCTAGACCACTTTGTTTAGAGTTCCATGCAACCTGGCCGTGAATGTTTTCAATAATGGGGCATCCACCACCTCTCTGCACAACCTGGGCCAGTGTTTCACCACCCTCACAACTAAAAAAGAAATCCTGACAGCTCTGCAAGTTTGTACACACTGATCTAGAAAAAAAGATGATGGCTGGAAATCAGAATTAGCCTCGAAAGACATCACCAAATCAGAGGCAACAGATAATTCACTGGTGAATTTACTCATCTGTGTAGTAGATTTCTTTTCCACTAGTGATCTTTCAATAACAGCCAGTACTTTCCTAGTGTCCTGATCTCCTTAAACACTAATAATGGATATCATGGATCTTAGATTATACCAATAACCTTATTCCAGGCCTTAAAAGGGCCTTTTAGGGAGTCAAGGCACAAACATGTCTCACCAGCAACGCCTGTCAAAACCCGCCAGGCTCCCAAAAGCCGCAGGTACAGCTACACGGCCACCTCAAGAAAGCAGTGGGAGCCCAAGTTCCCTCACAGCACTGCATCAGCTGCTGCAATCACACGGCCGGGCCGACCGGGAACCTGAGCCAGCTGAGGGGCCAGGACGGGACACCGACTGCGCCCTCAGCCACGGGGTAAAGCGGGAACAGCTCCTCATAAACGCCGCTATCGGCTCTCTTCCCCACTGCCAGGCAGCCCCTCACCATCTCCCCACAGCCCGGACATTCCCCTCAGGATGGCGGGGGGGGGGGGGGGGGGGGGGGGGGGGCTGTTCCCGCTTGCCTCAGGCCTCCACCGCTACTCACCCTCCAGGCTCTCGCACTGCACCAGGTTCACGTAGTCGCCTTGCCGGAGTACCCCCGCTTTAAAGCCGCGCACCAGCCCCTCCAGGTACCCGTTATCCACGTTGAAATAGAGCTCCGGGAAACACGACATGGCGGCAGCGACAGGCGGCAGCGTACCGCCCGCCGCCTCACGTGACTGGCGGCGGGTCACGTGGCCGCGGCCCCTTCCCGGCAGCCATCGCGGGGCGGGACGGGCCTGAGGCGATGGCGGTCGCCATGAGCCCGCGCCCCTGCTCCGCCTGCCCGGCGCCAAGCGTGAGCCCCCCTCACTCCACCGTGAGCGGTACAGGCACAAGGAGGATGCACACGTAAAGTTCGCGGTGTCGCCTACTGCTAACTTCTGTTAGTCAGGAAATACCTAGCCAGTTAAAGGGCTTTGCCAGCAGCTGCTCTGCGCAAAAATGAAATCGTTTTGTTCGATGTAAAGGTGTTGCAAAATGTGGGGTATGTCAAGGTTATATTAAGGCAAGATGTTCTCTGATGTAAGACCTCTGTGTACTTTTAAACCTATCAGGAAGAAAGGAGACCTAATCAGTGGAGCAGGCAGCAGCCAGCACCCCTCACTCCAGAATATCCCAGAACAAGCTTTAAGGATGGAGTAAGTCAAGATGGTGATGTATGTCTACATGTATGTTGTTAACCTGGCGAAATACTCCAGGTCCGTGTATCCTATGGCTGAGCTGTCTTCATTTTAACACTAACAATCACACTGCAGGGTCAAAAGGACCCGGTTGAGATGAAGGTCCTTCCCCTGAGCACGAGTAGAAGTTATCTGGAGTAATGCGATTTCTATGGAAATTACTAACCAATCTTATCAGAGGCGCTGTGCTCAGGAAGTCACTAACCCTGAACTTCTCTGTGTAAATAATGGCACAGAAAGCCTGGCGGGGCGTGCTGGGTTTGTGGAGTAGCACCGAGCACCCAGGCTGGGGCAGCTCTGAAATCAACCATCGGTGTCTCTCTGGAGCGTGTCACTATCGGCTCGGGGCACACCGAGGAGCGAGCCCGACTTTGTGGGTAACAGCAGCATAGCCAGAACATCACCTGGGGTGCCCTGCTGCTGAAACAGCACTTACAGATCCAGGAAAGGCACATCAGGTTTGCCGTGGGTGTGCCCTGGGGTGTGGACACTGCCCGGCTGTGCACAGGCCACCCTCACCTTGCTGCCACCCCCCGGAGAGCCCGAGACACCTCACACCGTTCCCACTCTGCAGTGGCTTTTGCAAAGGGCTGGTTTATTGGAGCTGCGGAGGAGGAGGCACACACAGGGGCGAGCAGCTGGCAGCCCCTGGGGCGCTAGTTCTTGCCGCAGGGGAAGCTGGTGCTGATTTTCCTGCAGTAGCAGAAGGCGTTGAAGAAGCGGCAGTAGCAGGTGGCACAGGGGTCACAGCAGGGGATCTGGTGGCCCAGGCAGGACTCCAGGAGCCGGACACAGCGGCGGGGGGAGCGCTCCTCTCGGCCCTCAGCTTGCAGTTCTGTGGATGATGCCTGCAGGGGAGACAGGAGGAAGAGGAGGGGAAGAGGTGGTCCTGGGCTGCTGTGCCAGCAATAAAGAACTGTGTGGGAGAGAGCCAAGAGTGGCTGCTGAAGGATGCTTGGCATTGCTTCTGTTGTGTTCAACTCCGGGCTCTATTTTCTGTTGGAAATCATTGCTGAGCACTGTGTACTCTGCAGGCATTGCTGCCTCATCCACGGTGTCTCAAGGCCTTGCTGCACACGTTTACTTTGAAGCGCAGCCTGAACTTTAGCGAACGGTGCTGTGCCCGAACAGAGGCTCCAGGGGCTGAGCCACGCAACACAGGGCACTGCCCACCGAGCTCCTGCTCTGCAGAGGCTTCCTGGGCTGCACTTGAGCTTAATTAAATGGATTACAGGAGCACAGGCTTGGACCACTCTCCTTTGAGTGCTGGATCCCCTTGCAGGTCAGAGCAGCCTCAGCTAATCCCAGTTCCTCAGGTGATGGATAGGTAGCCCCATCCCAGGCAGCACCAGCTCCAAACCCCCAGCCCCAGGGACACAGAGAAGGCTGCTGTGGCCTGAGGCCGCCCTGCTCTTAGGGCTGTCTGTAAGCTCAGGGAGCCATACCTGTGGTTCCAGCAGGCTGCCTCTCTGCACAAGGTCACCATCAGCTTCATGGATCCCCAGGGCCATCTGCTCAAACCCCAGCCTTGGGAGAGCTCCTGCGAGATACAGAGAGACTGGACCAGGAGGCTGCTGCAGGGTCAGCTCTGATTCTTCTCCCTTTGCTCGTGTGTCCCCACAAAAAAAAGACCCCGCTCCCTGCGGGCTGCCAAGCCGCTGTCACTAGCCAGGGCCAGGAGAAGCTGTGCTGCTTTAAGGGCATCCCCAGTTCAGTTTTGGGCCCTGGGTTTCCCGGCGAGCAGCCGGTGGGGTCAGTGGCGCGCAGGCGGCGCCGGGACTCACCTGCCGGCTCTGCAGACGCCTCCTTCCCTTTCCGCTGCGGGCCGGCCGGGCGGGCTCTGTCCACCCGCTCCAGCCCGCCGCTCGCCCTCTGCAGGTGCCCACAGCTGAGGTCAGCAGTCCTGAGATCCAGGACAGCCTGGATCCCCTGCAGCAGCCCACAGCACAGCAGCAGCACGTTCAGCATGGTCCTGGGGGGAAACCTGTGCAGAGGGGGCTGGCCAGCATCAGCCCACCTGCTGGCAGCCTGGCCTGTCCCCTCCACTGCCATCGTCCCCCGCCACCCCGAGAAGTGCCATGTCAGCAAGGGGCAGCCTCTGCCAGCACAGCCACCACTCCCAGCTGTTTGTTCCCTTGGACTTGAGAGCCTTTTTTTGGATCCACAAATACCTGGGAGCAGGAGCCCCCAAAGCTCTCTCATGTGCTGTGGGGCATTCCACATGTAGGCACATTCATGATCTCCCCACAGAAAGGGGAGACCAACAGAGAATGGACTGAGATTTGATCTTTTTTGTGTCAGTTCAGGTTCTGCCCCACACACAGCAGCCACCAGACCATTGAGGTGCACAGTGTGTGGCCAAAACATCAGACATGGCTCCTGACAGGCTCCGAGCCTGGAAGTGCCACTAGAATCTGAGTGCTGGGCAGGGAGATGGACCACAGCACACACAGCTGGGGGACAGGAGAAGCTGCAGGGCCAGGCTGTGGGCTTTGGGAGCCTGAAGGCTCTAAAAAGTAGGTGATCTCTTAGGGAGCAAAAGTAAAGGAGCCAGGAGGTGGTATCCACCCAGTGTCAGCCAAATCCTTGGAAACCCTGTGCCTGCTGCTTGGGCAGCCTTGAGGTTCCAAACCTGGCTCCAGCAGCCCAGTGCTGGCCACTCCTCATCTCCCCGTCCCACAAAACCACCCAGCTCTTTGCTGGGAGAGACCCCTCTGCACTGTGGGGAGCCCCACAGCCATGGGCATCACATCCCACACGCTCCCAGGACCCTTCCCGAGGTAAGCACTGACCTCTCCCAGCAGAGAGGGGATTGCTGTCCGCTGCTCCACTGAGCTCGCTGGAAGCGCCGCTACCTCCCTCTGCCTCAGTGTCCTCCTCCCCACATGTTTACTGGGATTTATATCAGCTTTTCATTAATTAAGTGCTGTGGCCACATGACTTCGCTAACTACCAGGTAGGTGGGAGTCTCTGGAAAACGGGCTTTGTCTGGATGGAGAGGCAGCCAGTGGGGTGATGCATGGGAGGGGGGACTCCTGCTTTGTGCCTTGCACAGCTGCAGGAAGGAACAGATCCCTGTTAGCTCCAAACTCCCAGGTTTTTTGGAAGTGATCCACACTGCCCTTGCAGTCCACTTCCCTTTCCAGCACCAAACCTGAGGAGACATCTCCTAGTTCCCAAATACAGATATAACAGGGCTACAATCTCCTCACCAAAACCATGCCAAGCCTGACTGGTTTTCAAAGGGAAAGTTGCCTATCTTGGTCTCCCAGCAAGCATCCACTCATAGTGCAGAGCCTCCAGAAGTCCTCCAACTCCTGACCACAAACCATCTGCAGATTCTCCAGGCTTCCACCTGTGCTAACTGCATCTCTTACTCATGTCTTATTTGGAAAACCTGCATCTCCCCAGAGCCAGGCTCCTTTGGGGAACAGTTATAGCCTTGAATGGCTTCAGCCCTGCAAGGAATTGGGGGAATAAGACACAACAGGAAGGGTTCAGCAGGTTCTGACATCCCCAGGCTCTGCCTTCTCCAGGCTGTTCCTAGACCAGGAGAACCCCCAGACCTCCCAGCACATCCTCAGCAGAGCATGAGCCCCTGCTCCTGGCGCAGCACCACCTCTGGGGGTATTTGCAGGCATCCTCTGTTCCTACATCCCCTGTCCTGGCGTGGTCTGATTCCTGCTGCATTTGAGGGACAGGCTGAGCAGGCACAGGACCAGTGAGGAGCTCATCTGCCATGTGTCATTCTCCAGCTGCGTGTGGCTGCTGTAAACACTCAGCACCCATCTGTGTCCCCCAATGCACAACACCCAGTGAGGATCCCCTGCCACGGCACCTGGATGCCTCCTGCACCCCACATGCCTGGACAGAGTCATCCTGGATGAGGAGCAGGTTTGGCAGCCCCTTCCATTCCTGAGGCCCAGGTGGGTGCCGAGTGTCCCGTCCAGCCGCAGCTCCTCCATTGCTCAGCCCTGGGGGGCCCGAGTGCTTGGTGCTGGCTGCCGGTCCCCGCTGACAGCAGCCCCCGCACGGCGCCCTCAGCGCAGCTCATTAGGGCCTGTTTGCAGCCGGCGGGGCCGCGGGCCAGGACTTCTGGGAAGGCATTAGCGGGAACGAGGGCGGCCGCGCTGAGAGCTTTTTAATCTGCCGGAGCAACATCTGCTTTGTGCCCATCCCGATGGCCAGTAACGAGCTAAATGAGGCGGCCGGCCGCTCGCCGGGCCGCTTCCAGGAAAAGACGGGCTTAAAGCGGGGGGGAAAGGGGGGCCAGGGCTGCGCTCCCGGCTCAGAGGCTCAGGCTCCAGCGAGGGAAGGAGCGGGTGATGGGGTGGGTTAGTGGCACAGCAGAGATGCCCATGAGCGGGCATCCCGGGCAGGAGCCCCCAACGGTGGGACCCTCCGGAGACAAGCCCGGGCTGGGGGCTCTCCCTCTCCTCCTGGAAGCATCCAGGCAGGCGGGCGGCTCATTTAGCTCATCACCAGCCCTCGTTACCGCTGAGGCCAGCCGAGTCCCCGCTACCCCAAACAGGCAGGAACGAGCCGGGCCGCGGCAGCTGCCGGACTCAGCGGTGTCCGGGGGCTGCCTCTCCGGAGGTGCGATGAGCATCGCCCCGGCTCAGCCCCGCCGGGCCGGGCCCTTTAAGGCGCGATCCCGGAGCCGCCCTGACGTCAGCGGGGCGGGCGCGCCCGGGCACCGCAGCCCCGGCGGTCGCGGCTCCGCGCCCCAGTGAGTGCGGCTCCGCCGGGGCGCACCGGGTGACAGGGGTGGGTATCGGGGTGCCCGGGGCGCTAGAGGGGGAGCATGGGGGTGCCCAGGGTGCTGAGGTCTGGAGGTGAGGGCATGAGGGTGGCACGGATGTTGGGGATTGGAGATGGGGATACGGGAGTGACAGGAGTATTGGAGACCTAAAGGTTGGCGCTATGGGGGTGGCCCGGAGTGCTGGGGACTGGAGATGGAGGTGTGGGGGTGCCCAGAGTGCTGGGTAGTGGAGGTGAGCATATTTGGATAGCCAGGATGCCGAATACCTGGAGATTGGTATTATTGGGGTGCCCAGGATGCTGGGGTCTGGGAGTATGGGGTGACAGGGGTGCTGGCGATTTGGAGGTAGGGGTATGAAGTGCTCAGGCTGCTGGGATCCAGGAGATGGAGTATGGGGCTGCTTAGGGTAATGAGGGACTGGAGGCAGGAGTATTGGGGTGTCCGGAGTGCTGTAGTTCTGGACACCTGGAGGAGAGGGCATCAGGATGTCCTGGGGTGCTGGGAAGTAGAGGCATGTATCGGGATGTCCAGGATGCTGGGAATTGAAAGGGAGGTGTTGGAGTGCTCAAGATGCTGGGGAGCCAGACATGGGGATTATGGGGTGCCCTAGGAGATGGAAGTATTGAGATTTCCAGAGTACTAGGAACTGGAGATGGGGATACAGGTGGGGGTCTACATCCCGGGATGGGGACTTGGGGGTAGAGTGTCAGGGGTGTCCAGGCTGCTGGGGACCTGATGTCCTGGCAGTGCTGGTGTCAGTGGTGCTGGGGGACCTGGTGTTTGGGGCACCCCGTCCCTCACCCCACATTGCTCAGCATCTCCTCCATCCCACAGCGCCTGATGCCCGTCCCCACCTGACGGCACCGCCATGGCCGGGGCACAGGGCTGCGGCGAGGGCAAGATCGCGGGGCTGTACGACCTGGAGCGCACGCTGGGCAAGGGCCACTTCGCAGTGGTGAAGCTGGCCCGGCACGTCTTCACTGGGCAGCGCGTGGCCGTCAAGGTGATCGACAAGAGCAAGCTGGCGGGAGAGGCGGCGGGGCAGCTCCTGCAGGAGGTGCGCTGCATGAAGCTGGTGCAGCACCCCAACGTGGTGCGCCTCTACGAGGTCATCGACACCCACGCCAAGCTCTACCTCATCCTGGAGCTGGGCGACGGTGGGGACATGTTTGACCACATCATGCGGCACGAGGGTGGCCTGGCCGAGCCGCGCGCCAAGCACTACTTTGCCCAGATCGTCCATGCCATCTCCTACTGCCACAAGCTCCACGTGGTGCACCGTGACCTCAAGCCCGAGAACGTGGTCTTCTTCCAGGAGCAAGGGGTGGTCAAACTCACCGACTTTGGCTTCAGCAACCGCTTCCAGCCTGGCAAGATGCTCACCACCAGCTGCGGCTCCCTGGCCTACTCGGCACCAGAGATCCTGCTTGGGGATGAGTACGATGCCCCGGCTGTTGGTAAGGGCTGAGGGGGGCCCTGAGGACCTGCCTCCCTCCTGTCCCTTGCTTGGAGCACGGTCCTGCCAGCTGGGTACCACCTCCCACTTGGCCCCTTACACTAGGAGCATACAGTGACACTGCTGTCCCTGCAAGGAGCAAGCCTGTGCCTTGGGTGCTTGGCTGCCTGGCCCTGCCCTGGCACAGCGGGGTCCTCCCTGCAGAGACCATCCCAGCATCCACAGAGATCCCACAGAGTGATGGTTGCCAGAGAAGGGAAAAAGCCCAAGCAGGCTGTGAGCCTGGCGTGGCAGCCGCCAGGAGAAGCAGTGTGAGAATACAGCTGCCAGCAATCTGGCGCTGGTGGTTATTTGGCGGGGCGAGGCAGGAAGGAAATCTGCTCGGGATGCTGCTGTTTGGGCGGAGGAGCTCCGAAAGTTTCCTTTGCTCCATCCCCACCCTGAAAACCACTTCCTTCCCATGGCTTGCAGTGCTTTTCCTCCCCTGGTGCAGGGGAGGTGCAGGGGTCTGGGGAGACTGTCCGAGGGCACAGGGAGCTGGGCTGGGGGCTCCAAGAAGCTCTGCTGTGACAGAGTGGACGTGGGAGGGAAGCAGGATCCGAGCTGGCTGGCTGGCTGGAATTAGGGCAGGAGGATTTAGCAAAGCAAAACACGAGCCCTTAAAGGCAAAAGCCCAGCGTTGGCTCAGGGAAAGGCGGATCCTGAGTTGAGAACAGGGATAGCTTATGGAGGCGGTAGAAAAATAAGCTGGTGGCGCTGCAAAGGGAAATGAAGAGAGAAAACTGACGCAGATGAGAAATTTTTGAACACTCGACTTAAGCAGCTGAAGGTATTAACGGAGCGCCCCAGGGCGTGCTCAGCATCCTAAACCAGCACATCTGCAGGAATTTGTGTGCTGGGCAGGAGGAGCCAGTGAAGATGCTTCTGGCTCCATCTGCCCAGGACAGGGCAGCAATCCTGCTGCAGCTGGTCCCTATGCAGCTGGAGAGCCTACATCGGTGCTATGTCCCTCTCCGATTGCTGTCGTGTCTCCTAAAGCACAGCCCATTGTCAGGATGGTTGTGGTGGGGTTTGGGAATCAGGAAGCTGAGGAATGACATGAAACAGTGCCATGGGGGGGTGTGTGACTGGGGAGAGTGGAGAGGTGGGGCAGAGCTCAGGACTGGCCTTCCTGTCCCTACCTGAACAAGGTGATAACACCTTGACTGCTTTGGTGAAGTCCCTTGAGACCTGTTTTGATGTGGGGATGGGAAGGTCCTTCCCTGCCTTGGTGGGAGTATGGTCCCTCTGTCCATGGGGCAAGAGCTGGGGGCTGTTACTTCCAAGGAATATCCCAGTGAGCACTGGTGGGGCAGCCTCTCCCAGGGTCCCTGGGGCGGGGAATCTCCTGGGCCATGGTGAGTGCAACCTGAACTGCTGCTGCTGCTTCTTGCAGATATCTGGAGTCTCGGAGTCATCCTCTACATGCTGGTGTGTGGCCACCCCCCCTTCCAGGAGGCCAACGACAGCGAGACCCTCACCATGATCATGGACTGCCGCTACACCATCCCCCCGCACGTCTCGGCACAGTGCGCTGAGTGAGCACCACCCCCTCACTGTACCCCCCAGACCCCAACTTGCTGCCCCCAGGGTGGGTGCCCCAGCCCTGGCAGATGCCTGGGAGCTGAGGTGGGAAGAGCGGGCAAAGCTGCTTGCTTTGGGATTCACATAGTGCTGCAGGGTTGCAACGTCACTCCTTTCCCCCAGTCTCATCTCCAGGATGCTGCAGCGGGACCCGAAGCAGCGAGCGTCCCTGGAGCAGATCGAGGGCCACGCGTGGCTGCAGGGGGTGGACCCGTCCCCTGCCAGCCGCTCCCTGCTGCCCCTCACCTCCCACAAGCGCGTGTCTGAGGAGGAGCACGAGATCATCCTCCAGGCCATGATGTGCGGGAACATCGCGGATCGGGACACCATCCAGGAGTGAGTGATGGGATGCGGGGCTGGGAGCCCCACTGAGGGGCTCTGGGGGTCCCTCCAAGCACGGTCCTTGTGTGCTGCTGCAACTCCCTGGTCCCACACAGGGCGCTGGAAGCCGACCGCTACAACCACATCACGGCCACGTATTTTCTGCTGGCAGAGAGGATGCTGCGGGAGAAGCAGGAGAAGCAGGGCCACCGCCTCAGTCTCGTTTACAACCTGGCCAAGGAGGTACAGAGCAGGTGAGCCCCCTGCTGCCCCCATCCTGTGTCACCCTCCCCAGCATCCTGAGTCCCCAGTGCAGGGTCTTGGCCGGTCCCCTGTTCTTTTCCTTGTCACAGCCTTTGTGATGCCCAGCTGGGTAGTGACACGTCTCTCCCCTTCCTCAGGCCCAACTTGTCAGACACATTTGGCTCTGTGGGCAGCGCCGGCAGCCTCCTGCCCTTCACGGAGATAGGTGGCCTCGCCGGGGGGTCCCGGCTGCCCTCTGGAGGGGACATCGGCGGCCGGCAGCCCATGGGGACCCTGCTGAAGGTCCCTGCCGTTGACACCGCCATCACCAAGAGCACCCCGGCCCTGCAGCAGATCTGTGAGGAGGAAGAGGAGGACGAGGAGGAGGAGGAGAGGCCCAGCACAATGGAGAGGAAGAGCAGCTCTCTGAACCAGGAGCAGATGCGAGCCTTCCTGCGTGCCCACCGCCCGCCCGGCCGCGGGGAGGTCTGGGGGCCGGGGGTTGAGCTGGGGGGCCGGGGCGGGCGCTCGGGGACGGCCTGGGCTGGGAAGGGAGTGAGTGGGGGCCGGGGTCCCCCCGTGCTGCGGGGAAATGGAGGTGAGCCCCTAAGGAGGGAGGAGGACACAAAGCCTGGGGGCTCCTCGGCAGAGTTCCCCAAGGAAAGGAGAGCCATCCTGTCACCCCAGAGCAGCTCAGCTGAAGTTCCCCAGGTACTGGGGGCAGAGACGACTCCTGCCACCCTCCCAAGTCCTGCAGACACGTCCCCAGGGCAGGGGGAGCAGATCAGCCCGGCCCAGCAGTCGGTGGAGAGCTCAGGCCCTGAAGGGGGTGCAGAGAGTGTGATCAAGCTGGACCCGGGCAAGAGCAAGGGGGGCAGCCTGCGGGACAGGCTCCTGCAGTTCCCGCTCTGCGAGAAAGCCCTGGCCTTCAAACTCCGGCCGGGCTCCAAGGAGAGCCTCTTATCTCTGGGGCAGTTCAACTGCTGCCACGTCATTTAATGCCCCGGGACTGGCCCTGCTGTGGGGACTGGGAGGGTCCCCACTCCCCTGCCTTTGGTCTGTCGTGGCTGTGGGGCTAGCGGGTGGCACGGTGTCCTGCTTTGTCACCCGCGGTGGCCACCCTGCCAGCACCCACCCCTGGAGCCCGCTGTGACAGCCCATCCCCCGGACAGGCCTGCCCAGGGTGAAGCAGACTGGGGTCCATCCCAGCACTGGCCAGTGTGTTCCCAGAGCTCTGGGACAGCTCCGTGACCCTGCCGGAATGGGATGGACCACAACACTTTTTTAACTACTAGAAATAATTTTTTTAAATAGTCTATTTTAATGTAATTAAATAGAGATTGCTATATCCCCCCCAGACCCCTCAGTGCCCCAGCCCCACAGTGTGCATGGCCCGGGGCTGGGCTGTCCTGCCTGCAGCCCCCCCACCAGCCCCAGCCAGGGCCAGGCACAGCCTGGCCCGTGACCCCAGGCTGTCCCCTGGGCCCTCCCTGCAAATAAGCTTCCTATTTATTATCTCTTTGTTTTCTTGCTGGCAAGAAATGAATGACGACGGAGCATGGGCCGGAGCTCGGCCTGAGCCGTGGCACATGCGCCTGGAAGGATCGGAGCCGCCGGGAAGCAAAGTTTGTCAGGACAATAAAATAAGCTCGTGGGTTGATGTGGGTGCAGTGTCATTGCAAAAACATCACTCTCCCCCCTGTCAGGGGGCCAGGGATGGCTTCCCTGCCACCAGGGGTGGCTTTTAGGGAGCATCTGCCTGAGCTGGGTGGGCAGGGGCCCAGAATGGAGCTCAGGGCAGTAAGGACAGGGATGATGAACACCCAAAGGTGAGAGAAGGCCTGGGCATGCCAGGAGGCAAGTGGAGGGTGCTGCACATCCCCTTGAGAGTCAACCACAGTCCCAGGGTGCCCCCAATAGTTTTCCCCACTCAGCCTGGAGCCATCCCTGAGCCCCCAGTTTCAAGCCCAGCCTGGGCTTCCCTCCCTCCAGCTCTGCTGTTCCTCTTCTATCCATCCTCCTTCTCCCTCCTTTCAGGTGTACCCATGATAGCTCCTTTGTCTGTCCTCACCATCCAACATGAGATCTCCCTGAGTACTGGCTGGTTGGAAGAACAGAGCAATGCTGTGTGGGTCTCAGGTGGGATGGAGCCAACTCTGAACAGCTTGGAGAGTTGGTGACAGGAAAAGGAGGGGGGGTGCCCTGGGGACCCTGCAGACCCCACAGGGGCCCCAGCAGCAAGAGGGGATATGCTGCTCCTGCCCACAGGCTCCCTTTCTTGGTCCTAAAGGATAAAGCCACCGCCTGAACAGGGGCTTGAACCCTGGACCCTCAGATTAAAAGTCTGATGCTCTCCCAGCTGAGCTATCCAGGCTCACACTGGGCTCTGGGGTGCAGCTCTGCCACCGGCGGGGGGGGACCCCGCTTTCCTCAGCATTGCAGGGACACTGGGGCACCCACTTCGATATTCCCACTCCCACGCCACCCCAGCTGCCAGCGCAGGCCAGGCTGAAGCCGGGTTCTGGGAATCTCACCGGGTGCCGAGCAGGCTCAGGGACGCGCGGCAGGGAGGAGCGGGATGCTGCGGGAGCGGCTCTGGAGCTGCGCCGCTCCCGGAGGGAGGCGGGAGGGCCCCGCCGGGGCAGCGGCGGCCGCGGGGGCTGCGGCCGAGCAGGCTCCGAGCTCTGCTCTGCGCTGCAGCAGCCTCGGCTCCAACCCGAGCCCCGGCGGCGCTTCCGCAGGAGGGAGCCCCGGGGGCTCTGGGTTACCGACACGGAGCCGCGGAGGGCACCTACAGCTGCCACCCCTCATATTCTATTGCCCTTCCTCCCCGTTCTTCAGGAGGGGACCCTTTTGCTCCACAGGGAAGCCACCCTGCCAGCTCGGAAGGGACAGACGATGAAAGCCGAACCCCATTGCAGACAGGGTGGGGGAGCCCCAAGGACAGCCCGCAGAGAGCCCCGTGGGGCCTCTTCAAACGCCTCGTGCGCACTAATTGGCTTCATTAGAGCAGCCAGTGATGGCATCAGCCCCCGTCCTGCTGGGGCTGGGGACAGCACTAATGAGCCGGGGAACGGCTCTGGAGGGGAGATCAGAGCCCGTATCTACGGTGGGAGTCCGTGTGGTGTCGACTGAACAAGAGCACAAGCTTCATTACCCTGATTAATTAGAGCCCGCTGCTTTTACCCACGCCTGGAGCTGTGAGCGCACCGGTGCGCGGCCCCTCGGCAGCCACGGGGGCACCGCAGCCCCCCGAGTGCTGGACACACCCGCAGACAGACACGCGGTGGTCCCTGGCTCCCACAGAGAGGCACCATGCGGAGCTCAGAGCCTTCAGGGAGGGGCTCGGAGCCGGACCCCACAGACACGGACTGCGACCCCCCCGCGCAGGAGGCTCCCGGGCGCGTTTCCGCCGCTGCTCCCCCGACCTTTTCTGTCCCTTTTTGGCCACCGTTAGCCCGGCCCATGGGGGCGGAGCTCCCGCCCACCCGGAAGAGCCCGACCGGGACCACGTGGTGCGGGACCACGTGTTGGCAGCGTCATGGCGTCGGCGCCCAAGAGGTTCAAGGTGCGGGGGAAGCCGGGGGCTCCCGGGCCACCGGGGACACACCGGCTCTTGGGACGGCGGCGCTGACGGGATCCGCCATCGGCCTCATGGCTCCTTCCCCTTCACCCCATGTTTCCATCCACAGGCGGCGGTCGAGAGCGGCGCCCAGGGCAAGAGTAGTGCCGACCCCCTCTCCGGGTTCCTGGCGTGGTGCGGGCGGGCCGGGGTGGAGCTGAACCCCAAGGTGAGGCACGGCGGGCCGGCCCGGGCATGCCCTAGGTCCGCCCTGGTGCCTTCGCTCCGCCCCTCACCGCTCCCTCCGGCCCCAGGTCCGCCTGAGCAGGGAGGGCGCGGTGGCGGGGTACGGGATGCTGGCCGCCGAGGAGCTGCAGCCGGGAGAGGTGCTGTTCACCATCCCCCGCACGGCGCTGCTGTCCCAGCACACCACCTCCATCCACGCACTCCTGCAGGAAGGTGAGTGCAAGCTTCTTGTGTCGCTCGAGTCTGCTGTACCTTTTAAAGGAGTAAATGGGTCTGTGGTAAAGCCTCGGGTTTCTGATTGGCACAGGATGCTGTAGGGCTGTTTGATACCAGGTAGGAAGGGAGAGGGCTGGGCATCCCTCACTTCCCCAAGAGCTGTGCTGGACAGGGAGAAAAGTCCATCAGTGCAACATCTCCAACTTCTAACTGACAGGCACCTGTACAATGCTGCTTTCCTTGAAGCACTGGTAAGAAAAAGAACAGTTCCTTGGTTCCTGAAGGCACAGAGCCTCAGGCCGAGGAGGACAAGGCTGTGAGGCCTGGCAGAGCTCATCTGTAACTCCAGAGAAGCCGTTTCTGGTTCTGGTTCAGCTCAGGACAAACCAGAATAAAAGCTCAACCCTGGTCTCCAGGCTGAAGACAGGCATGGAGGCTTGTCCTATAAGGTTTTGGCTCTGAAACACAGAACAATTAAGGTTTTCTCCATCCTCTCTGCTTCTGTAGCCCAGGAGTCCCTGCAGAGCCAGTCTGGTTGGGTCCCTCTCCTGCTGGCCTTGCTCCACGAGTACACAGCCAGCAACTCCCACTGGCAGCCGTACTTCTCCCTCTGGCAGGGCTTCCGGAGCCTGGACCACCCCATGTTCTGGTAAGGTGAAAGCAGGGGGGCTTGGGGAGGCTCAGTCTTACAGCTGAAGGCAGGCTCAGGCCAGGGGCTGCTGAGTGTTGTCCTGGGAAGGGAGGTGGTCCTGCTGGGTAACACGACCCACTGCTCAAGCCCTTTGCTGGCACTGGCCGGAGCCTGAGGGCCCCTCCTGGAATTACAGTACAGGCAGAGCTACAGAACATGGACCTGGAGAGTACGGGGAAGCTGAGATTTTTAAGGAGGAAGAAGTTTATAGCCCCTTGGTGCTAGCACAGATGGAGAAGCTGTTTTTCTTGTAACAGGCCTCAAGAAGAGCGAACAAGGCTCCTGCAGGGCACAGGCATCCCCGAAGCTGTGGACAAGGATCTAGCTAACATCCAGCTGGAGTACAACTCCATCATCTTGCCTTTCATGGAGACCCACCCTGACATCTTTGACCCCAAACTGCACACTCTGGAGTTGTATAAGGAGCTGGTGGCATTTGTCATGGCTTACAGGTGAGAAGTAAGGGCTTTGATCCAGCAAGGAGCACGGACAAGGAAGTAGGAGTACAGGCTATGTTAAGAGACTGCAGCTGCACAAGAATCTGAGTGTAAGGTGAAGCTTGCCCTGTGCAGCCATGTGTACCACTGGCTTGTCTTAGCTTTCAGGAACCTTTGGAGGAGGAAGAAGAAGATGAGAAGGGGCCCAATCCTCCCATGATGGTGCCTGTAGCAGATATTTTGAATCATGTGGCCAACCACAATGCCAACCTGGAATACTCTCCAGTGAGTGCAAAGCTGCTGTACCAGGCATTGTCACATCTTGGTTCTGTTTTAATAAGACTTTTGGGAATGGGGGCACAGCAAGGTGGAGTCTCAGCCCAGGGCAGCAAGTCTGGCCTGGATCTTGTTAAAACAAAGCCCTGCTGCATGTTTGGTTAGGAGGAGCTCGGGGCCATCTGAGCTCTCTGAAAGCCCCCGATGAGCAGTCGGTTCAGCACAGCTCAGATGCTCTCCTCTCCCTGCTTGCAGCAGTGTCTGAGGATGGTCACAACGCAGCCCGTGAGGAAAGGACAGGAGATCTTCAACACGTATGGGCAGATGGCCAACTGGCAGCTGCTGCACATGTACGGCTTCGCAGAGCCCTACCCCGGCAACAGCCACGACACGGCCGACATCCAGATGGTGACACTGCGCAGGGCGGCGCTGCAGCGTGAGTGCCACCAGCCCCTCTGGGACAGGGATCTCTGTGCAACAGGGATGACATGAAAATCAGGGGGCGGGGCCAGGCCTTGGTTTTCTGCCTCTTTTTTCCCCCTTCTCCATTCACGCTCCCCCTCTGCTGCCGTCCTGGCTGTGTTCACAGCTTTGCTGCCTTCAAAACAGGTGCCAAAAGTGAAGCGCAGCAGCAGCTGGTCTCAGAGCAGTGGGACTTCTTGTGCCAGCTGGAGATGGTGGGGGAGGAAGGTGCCTTTGTGCTTGGCTGGGATGAGGTGCTGACAGAGGAAGAGCTGTCCATGACCCTCAAGGTAAGAACGGCCAGAAGAACTGCAAAAGGGGGCAGAGAGTGCAGCTGGGCAAATCAGCAGTGCAGAATGGCTCAGTGAAGGGACGAGCACCTGAAGGCAGTTTGGCACTAACAGTCCTGTGTGAACAGCAGTAGGGGCCTGTGGCTGCCCACCTCCCAGGTGCTGTTAAGTCATCTTCCTCTCCTGAAGTAGCCATCCAATGTGTACTCACATATTTGTCTTGAATGGCTCCATGGCTACTGCTGTTCTAGAAAGCTGTCACAACTTTGTAGGTGACAGCTGAGATGCTTTACAAGACTTGCCAATACCCAGATTTACTGTTTTAATGTTCTTCTAACCCACAGTTACTTGCACTTGGGTATCTGAGCTTGTTTTAGTCTCTTGGCTTTAGCACAGCTGAGGAATAACTCACCTGCTCCACATGGCTCTTCTGTTCTACAGAGGAGAAAGCCTGATGTACTCACACTGCCAGTGACTTATCCCTTTGCCTGGGTCACTACAGGTGCTCTGCATGTCAGAAGAAGAATTCAAGGAGTATAAAGAGCAAGATGGCTGGGAAGATGACAGTGACGAAGAGGAAAACTCTACCCTTTCAAATGAGGCCCTCTCCAGACTTAAAACCCCTTGCAAGAAGCTCCTTTATGACAGTGTGCTGCTGACCCTGGAGTCCTATGGGGCAGACCTGAAAGCAGAGCAGGACTTGCTAAATAACAAGGAGGCTTACGAGAAACTGAGCCGAAGGGAGCAGCAAGCGCTGCACGTGCGCTACGGACAGAAGAGGATCTTGCATCAGCTGCTAGAGCTGGTTCAGTAGAAACCTCAGTGCCCCTGGCCAGGCCCTGGCTGGGGCTGATCCTGAGGGAAAGGTCAGCCTGTGGCCATCTCTTCTGTAGCAGAGAGGACAGATGGCAAGACTGACTGCAGGTCCACTTGTCCCTCATACAGCACATGGATTTTTAGCTACCTCTACATAAAGAAGTATCTTCACAGCACAAAGGTGGTTTTGAGTGGCCTTATTGTACCATGAGAGCTCTGCAGCACAAGTACCAACTTTTCCCAGAGGCCTTAAGAAACCCCAGCCATCTTAATGGCTGTTTTAGAAAGGCACACATACACTGCCAGAGCAGCAGAGGATTCTCTCAGCATCAGAAGTTTATGGCAAGACCTGCTCCTTATCCAGATTAAGAGGCAGAAATCCTACTGGTAGCTCTTACTTCAGAGAGGTTCAGAGTAAATACCTGGCAGGGGGACCTGCTAACACCAAACTCTTCACCTGTACGTATTTTATGTTGAACATGTTCAAAAGTACAAGCCCATCTAGCTGGTCTTCATGCAGGCTCAGTGTAATAAATACTTCCTTTTATTTCCACAAAAGGTATTTCTGTGTGGGCTTGAGACTACTCTGGAGGAGCACTGTCACAGTTCCACAGTGGCTGCAGGCTGAGCATTTGATATACACCCTCTGCTTGTTACAGTTCTACCCTGAACCCACTTTGGTTTTGCATGACAAAACACTGATGGTTGACAGGTCAAGCTCTGTTTAATAAAAATGAGTTTTCTTACCCAGCCCATGCTCTCTGCTTCAACAGGGTGTGAAGCCCCATCTAAGAGCAGGGGGATTGTTGCTGCTGCTGCAGTTAAAAAAGTATTGCAGACAAGCAAAATCCACACTGTACTCATGACAAAGCTCAGCTACAGCCCTGCCTGCAGTGCTTGGGGACAGGATGGTTTAACAGTGCTGAGGGGAGCTTGTTCTGGTTTCCTAGATGGGACAACAGCGAATTTGAGCAGGATCTCACACAACTGCCACTATCCTTCATAGAGACATTGTTTAAACTGCTGTTCTGTTATCCTGTGTCTCCAAAGTAATCATATTGGAAAATGTACATGTCAGAGGAGTGTTACATTTTGTATCTTGCGTAAAGTTTGGGGTTTGGGTTAAAACTTGTTTTTTAGATATGCACAGAGTTGGTGATGACAAAAGCATATAAAAGGTTTGAACCTATAACAAGACTTTGTTTCACCTACTGATTGTAATTGTTTGCCTGCATGGGCATTGGAAGTTCCACCTCACTGGAGAAGGGCATTTTAAGAACTTCACTCTTAAGAATGTATTTTTGGATCATGGGGAAAGCTTGGAAAGGATTCATTTACTAAGAAGCTGATTATGTGATGGCCTCTTTATCTTTAAGAGAATTGGGGGAAATGGCCTCATAATGGATCCTGCAATCAATGTTACTTTGTTGCCAGGAAGGAAAATGGGGCAAAGTACCAGATGCTGATCTGTTCTTTGCATTGCAGAATAATGATAAGGCTTGGAAGGAATGTGGATGGATGACAGCAGACTCTCATGTTCTAGCACTAGAGAAATAAAAAGGAAGTGTAATGAAGAGAATGAGGTGGAGAAGAGAAAGGAAAGAGGAAAAGAGATCAGAAAAGGGATGGTAAATTTGGTAGATTGCTGAGATAGTTGGAAGGGCAGGAGGTAATGTAAGGAAATCAGATTTCAACTGCTAAATTCTCATCTAGTAGGAAAAATTCAACATAGTTACTGTAAGCAGAACAGGCACTGGAAACAAATGCCCACAGAAGCCAGGGCACAGGTAATGCTCAAAGATGGGAGGCTCCACAAGTAGGAGCTTAACTGCTTACACTCAACTGGGATTTAGACCAAGAGGCAGCTGAGAGGTCCACAGAATCCCCAAAAGAACTCCTGGTCACAGTAAATTTGGGGAATGAAAAGGCAGAATATCTAATAGAGGAGCAACTTAGATGTAAATAGGCCTTCAGTAATCAAAGCACATCTATAGCTGGAGCCATAGGAAAAAAAGAATTAAGCCATTCTTCCAGCCACTCAAATTTGGAATTGGAGAGAGTTTTATAAAATTTCTGCACATATCCAAATGCCCAATGCCATTATTAGGAAGAGAATTAAGTAAATTAAATGCAAAAAGAACCTTTAAAAAATGAGAGATCCAAGTACATAAACCAGAAGAAAAAGCCCTGGGGGCATAAGTATTTATGCTACAGGATCAAGAAGAGCCAGAGAGGAAGAGATATCCATAAAAACAGATGATGGGGTGATTCCTCTCATGTAGGTGACTGGCACTCCTGCAAGATCACAAGAAGCAAAACCAGTAACAATCCAATTAAAACCAGGCATGAGATGGGTAAGATGAAAACAACATCCTGTTAAACTGGAAGCTAGAAAAGGGCTAGACCAAACATTGAAAGATTTATTAGCTTTGGGTTGCTTCAGGAATGCCAGTCAGTTTAATACCCCAATTCTACCCATTAAGACACCACACTCAGATGAGTATCAGCTAGTCCAAGATTTAAGAGCCATAAAGCTTGCACACAAGATGTGCATCAACCACATAAAAAAAACATTAGTCAGTGGTTTAGGGCATCAGACTTGAAAGATATTCCCTTAAAAAATATATCCTTTTGTATCCCACTGGATGCCAGAATTCAGGAGCTGTTTGCATTTGAATGGGAGAACCCTCAAACAGGGGGCTGTCAATTATTCTGTACTGTTTTATCACAGGGATTTTACCACAGACATACAATTTCTGGACAACAATGCAGAACTGTGTGTCCTTGGGACTGGAATGGGAGGCACAGTAAAAAGTATAGTGAAGAAGAAAAGAGAACTGTGTCCACAGTTCCAGCTGCAAAAGGCTCAGTTTCAATTCAGCTGCTGACCTGGCAAAGAAATGCCATGGAATTGTAGGACTAGCCACAATCTACTCCTTGACACAGAGGTGACTGATGCCTGGAAGAGAAAGAGAGAGGATTCTCTCTGAGCTGTCACCCACTGGCACAGCTGGCTCAGTGATCCCTCAGAGCTGTTTTTTCCTCTGTACAGCAAATGCAAAGCCAGGAATGGAACCCCTTAAAGCCAAGTAGGAATTCCTGACCTCTCTGCCCACACCACAGCAGTCAACTAAAGCAGTTAGCTTTAACAAGCTGATGTTATGTAAAAAGAAAGAAGTGAAGCTCTATTTCCTAGCATCTGCTAGGTTAAAGGACCTTGCAATATTAACAGCACTGAAGCTGCCTACCCTTACAACAGCTAACCACAACCTTGGGCAGATTCCTGCTGCAGGGAGATCACAGCAGGGTGGAAGGCATTAGAAATGGAACTGATGGGCTGTCTACACTCTGTTGTACCTCCAGTGCAGTCTCCTGTCTGAGACAAACTCTGCTCATGGGCTTGCAACCAAGCCATTTCTATTTTCACACAACTGCCCTTTCTTCTGCACTTCAAAGCAAGACCCTGTCCAGTCACTACATCTGCCCACTGACCTCATGCTAGAGAACAAACCCAGCTGCTTTCAACAGGCAGTGCCCAAAACACATTGGAAAACTGCAGGTTTTGGATGGGTACAACAGGCTTTGGAAGACACCATCTTGCCAGGACAGAACTGGAGAGAATAAGCACAGTGGCACGTGCTGCATGTCATGACTTTAATGTGTAACTACAGTATGCATACATACAAGAGTGGGAGAACTAAAGCCCAAGAACTAGAAAGGCTACAAAATACAACACGTGGACCAATACTTTACAAAACATTGAAAATCCTTACAAAATGGGCTGTATTGGTCCTTTGGGTTTTTTGTTTTGTTAAATTTTTTCTTTTTTTTTCTTTTTTTTCGGTTTTTTTTTACAAACTTATACTGTGTGGTCACAGGGGAGGGTGGGAAAAGGTCTAGATTTAACCCCTCATCTTCCAAAATTTACAACTGTCCAAAAAAAAAAAAAAAAAAAAGCTATAGGCCTGGTCTCTGGTTTATTTACTGAAAACAACTGACCCTCACCCAAAGGGCCTGTTTCTTCTCCAACAAAAAGGAGGCATTCTCTGACTGCCACTCCACTTGCTGTCTATCAGCATTTGATGAGGGTGAGGGGAAAGCAACACTGAACCTTAACCCCTCCCTCACCCCTCCTGTACTCCACAGAATTCCCATATTCCAAACACATCCACTTTTTTTTTTTTTTTAAACAACTTAGTGATTTAAAGGTCCCCCATTCACATAAAGAAAAATAAGTTACTGGCTTTTCAATATTCTTTGGGAGTCTGGGAATGTCAGGACAAGGAGGTCTGCCCCAGACAAGTGCTTGGCATCAGCAGCTGCCCCTTTATTACAAGATGGACAGGCACCAGTTACCCACCTGCCTTTTACACAATTTGCACAAACCCAAAAGTCCAGACAAATGTTTCTGTTCCTTGTATTTACACTAGTTCAAATGATATTCACAGCATCTTCTGAAGTTTGGCCGAAAGTCAAAAAATTTGTTTCAAACTTTGGAACATGCCCACATAAGACTTTCACCCAGGGTCTGTTGTGTCTACCCAATCAAGGGGGCTGGGAAGGTCAGGAGGAGCCTTACAGAGTCTTCAGTCAGCTGATGGGACGGGACCTCCAGGCTGGCACTTACAACGCAGGATGCAGCTCATCTAACTGGCACCAGTCCCTTCCATAACTTGCTGGGCCTGCTTCTGCCCCATGCAGCACTGTGCAACCGACTGGAACAACCTGCACACAGAAGCAAAGCAATGGGAGGTGCATTTATGGCAGCAAATGGATGCTGTGACAGCACCAAAAACTCAAGTTCAACTGCTTCAGAGGTACCATTTTAATGATTCTGTGGTTAAGTTATACTCACTTCTCAATTTCTGGAGCACAGTGAACAAACTCATGGTTCCAGAACTTAAAGGCTGGATTTTTTATCAGCTCAATGAATGTAATAAGGAGACCCCAGGGATGAGGCCTATTTACAATCAGTCGTTCCAAGAGAACCCTGAAATCCAAAAGTAAGAACACTTAGAGCTCAAAGATCAAAAATACAGAAAGGAGGAAAGCAAAAAGCTGAATGTTGGCAAGTTAAATGCCATCCCTCTCACCTGGTGATCTGCTCCTGGATGGCCTCTGTGTTGGCCTCTGCAAACAGGTAGAGCATGGTGCAGCTGAAGTAGTGGGTGTGACTGTTGGGGTACCGCAGCTGGTTGGCGATGGCGTTCAGGAAGAGGTACCGGCCTGCAGGAGAGAGCACTGAGCACACACAGCTTCCCTTGCACACAAAGGGCAATAGAGAAGCAACCAGTAGTGCTGGAGATTAATGTTCAGGAGCCTTGTGGAGGTGCATGAAACAAAACCAACTGAAGATATGTAAAAGCTTTATCTACAGAGGCTGATGGAGAAATAAGAGTTCAATTCTTCTTCACTGAAGGCATTTCTAATTCCCTTGAATATTTTGAACTTTTGGTAAGAACACGGCTCCTATATTCTAATGTAGCATTCATTTCTGTGAATTCACTATCAACTACATGAAATCACAGAATCGTCAAGGTTGGAAGAGACCTTTAAGACCACAAAGTCCAACCATCAACCCAGCACTACCCCTGTAATCCCATAACCACTGAATCACATCACTCAGCACCAGATCCAGACACCTCTCAAACACTTCCAGGGATGGCAACTCCATCACCTCCCTGGGCAGCCTAATCCAGTATCAGACCACCCTAACAGTGAAAAAACCTTTTCTGATATTTCATCTCTATCTTCCCTGTAACACATTTTCCTCTTGTCATCTCACTGCAGGCATGGTAGAAGACCTCAACTTCACTACAACAACCCTTCAGAGCTCAGGGCCCCTGAGCCTCCTCTGCCCAACACTTAACAAACCCAGCTCCCTCAGCCATTTCTCAGAGGAAATGTTTTCTAGACCTTGCACAAGCCTTGCCACCCTTTGCTGGACACATTCCAGCACATCAATGTCCTTTTTAAAGCGAGCACCCACTTGCTGTAAACATGACATTGCATGAACTAGCAGTGTTTCCAGCTCACCTTCAGTATCCAGATCTACTGCCAAATTCTGGAAGATGTCCATGTGAGCTGAGTGGGTAATGGTGCTCATGGAGGGTGTGCTGCCTTTGTTGTGAATGTGTGCAATAGCTTGAGTACCTACGTAGAGCACCAGTGCATTTATCAGCTGGATGTTGT